TTCACAATTGATTTACTTCCCTCCCCTCCCCATTCTTTCTCTTTCTCTGTGTCTGTCTGTCTGTCTGTCTGTCTGTCTGTCTGTCTGTCTGTCTGTCTGTCTGTCTGTCTGTCTGTCTGTCTCTCTTTCTCTCTCTCTCTCTCTTTCTCTTACTCCCCTCCCTCCCCTTATCGGGGTAGGTAAGCAAAGTATGGTATCTAACCAAAAGAGAAAAAAGAATAAGAAAAACTTAAGCGGAGAAGATTATGTTAAGTTACTCTTGTGCCCTTCTGTCCCATACTCTAGATCAGTGGTTTTCAAAGTGGGCGCTACCGCCCCCAGGGGGGCGATGGCGAGAATTTGGGGGGCGCTGTGGCGAAACTGGGCGATTGGGGGGGGGCGCTGGTGGGCGCTAAGGGGGCGGTGTGAAATTTTCGTGACATGCTACATAAAACATGATGAAGGGAAAAAGCCACATAAAAGACAAAAACAAAAACAAAAATTCATAGCTTAGGCATAGTTTACAATACTACTTATAACTAAGAACTTTCTTTCCCAGCCCGCAAATCCCATATAAAGAAGATTCATCACGACAAATCTGATAAAGATCTGGCATACTTCAAAACTCTAAAGATCAATTTTCAGAAATGAAAATCAGTTAAACCGACGTTTGCAGCCAACGTCGATCAAGCTGATGAAGGCTTACGAGCAACATATAATTTATCTCAGCTAATTACAAAGGCAGGCAAACACCATGCTATTGGTGAGGACCTCATATTGCCTGCAATAAGAGAGGTGGTCAGCACAGTCCTGCAACGTGTCCCGGTGCCTGTGTTGAAAGTTCTCCCACTAAGTGACGATACCGTTCAAAGACGTATTGATGAGATTAAGCAAATAATGAGGAATCACTGTGCAAAATGCTGAAAGGACGTGAGCTCAGCCTTTAACTGGATATCAGTTTATAGAGGGTGAGGAAATAATGCAAGAATTGTTATTTGCGAAAATGTTGGAAACAGATACCAAAGGCGAGTTCATTTTCAAAGTGGTCCAAGAATTTT